TTGATGGATGGGTCTTGGTGGACTTGTCCCACGCAAACATATTCTCAGAGTCAGCTGAGAGAGGTGCAGCGCGTGTGTGTGTTAACCCCTCCACCCACACACACATGCACAAACACATGTCCATCCGTGATCGAGTCCCCGGACTCGGGCAGTATGGTGCCCCTCTGCGTCACCTACTGACACCCAGTGTCTCTAGTTAAGACCCAGATGGGTGGAGCTCTGACCCCACTGTCACAGGACGAAGAAAACCAGATTCAAGTTTTTTTTTTTCTGCAAATGGTAAACTTGACCCATGTCCCTCGTTTGGGTCCATTACATTTCCCTTGTAAGGGCTTGACATCCTGTTCCCTTAACAAACCATTAAAATTAACTTTGCCAGCTCACCCCAAGGGAAACATGTAATAATCAAGGGGAGGACAATTACAAATTAGCATGACTTTCTTTCTTTTGTCATTGTCTGAGCAGTCTTTGACATTTCACTCTTCAGATATTAAAGCTATCATCTGTTTTTCACTTTCTTTATTAGGTTGAGATAAATGTTGTGTTTTCAAATGACTTTCAGCAGCTTTTGTTGATGTCGATGAACTTACTCATAACAAATTATAATATATATATGAAAAGCTTTATTAGACTTGGTGAATTTGAAAAAGTTCTCATCATAAAGAGAAATAATTAAAAACTTAAAAACTATCGGTTGATTTTATCAAAAGGCTCTTTGTAATTTAGAAATTGTTGTATGTATCTTTTTCTTATAATCAAGACAGGAAAAAAACAGCAGCAACATTACTACACCCCTTACAAGTGAACACATGGTTCGGGGCAGAGATGGCATCAGTACATGACTGATCACTCGTCAATATCACAGGTTCATCCAGCACCATTAGTCATCTGCACTGCATCCTGTCACTCCACACAGCTGCTCGCCGTCTCTCTCCTCCACCTCTCATTTTTCTCTTTCTGCCCAACTTTCTCTGTTCTTTTTATACTCCTCACCAAACGCGCCCGGCTTCTAAGGGATTCCTGTCATGGTTTATGGGGGCTGGGGTTGGAAATAGGCTGAATAAAAAGAAAAAGAGGAGAGTGCTATGGCTCATATGTAGGCGGGTGAGTTTAGTTACATGCCATGTGTTCTTTTTTTGCTTTTTGGAGGTGGGGGAGGTTGTCATAATGTGTTGCGTTGTCCACTCTGGCTTAGAGGGTCAGATTAACAAGGAGTCCGGGTCCTTCTTTGCAGTGGTCCCCTCATAGGGCACAATGACAGGGGCGATCCATCACTTCTGTCCCTAACAGGGTGGGGGTCAGTGGGGGTGGGAGGCCGTGGGGCTGAGCCCAGCTCTAGCTGGCTGATGGAGGGTTGCGGATGGGGCTGGTTAAACTTTAACCAGCTCTCTTCCTACACACTGAAGACCACATTCAGCCACCATTCTCTGTTGTGGGACATTTTGATGTTTCATCAACCCAAGATCCATGACCCACCGCCCACTGGGACCCCCTCTCGCCCACTCATGGCCCCACGCCCACCTGCTTCCATATGGAACGCTGCTGCATAGCCCCAAACTTTTGGCCATAGCGTGGGAAGAAAGTGACTCTGAGGTCTCCTCTCCATCTGTACATAGAGCAAGTGGCTATATTAACCCAGCCCTCTGCACGCACCATACATGCCTCTGATATACTAACCATGACTTCATATCCAAAACTGCCACTGTTTCTCTGCAGCACTGTCATATCCGGCATCGACACATTTTTACAGCAGATCAATACCAATAGCCTTCTTTGTGATTGTAGAGGGGTAAGTTCTCTGGCACACCATGGTTATGGCATGAAAAATGATGGCTGGCCTTTTGATAGTCATTTAATACACAGTTGCACACTTTGATAGAATTTGGCAAAAGCTTCTCCCCAGTGAGTTAACAATGCGTACTGAAAATCATATTTCCATGGCGGCCCATTCAATCTTATCCCCCTGTTCCAGGAAAAACTGCAGTGACAAATGGGATGTGAGCACACTCTGGGTGGCTGTGGGTCACATCAGGTGCAGAGCAGGTTGGAGGTGTTAACCCAATGTGTTCCTGTTCACTGGTCCAATCATCTTCATTGATTGAGCCAATGATTGAAGGGGTCCTACCTTTCTTTACGATGCCAGCGGGAGGAGGTGAGGGCTGAAGAAAGGGGATAAACCATAAAGGAAAATGACCAACAGAAAAAAAAATACTCAGCAATAATTTGCTCTGTTTAAGTGCATTTTTATACAAAAAACTCTATATACTCTACTGCAGTGTACATTAACCAACAGACTGATTGTTTAAATTATAGAATTATATAAAACAAAACAAGGAGGCAGAAATAGGTTAGCCTGATTCTCAGTCATTTAAGTCTCCATATTTATGCATCAAGAGTGAGAGTCATGTGACAGCCTGATTTAATTAGATTTGATGAGGCCCAGCCCTCTACGCACACTTAATAATGCAGTAATTTCTGCCCATTTGACATGGGGAGAGTTAGGGAGTGACACTCTTAGGGGAAAGGGTGAGGGCAAGACATTTGGAGAGTGGTTGAGTGAGGGGGGGGGTAAATGTTTTTTTTTAAAAGATCGAGAGAGTAGGGGCAGAGCGGAATAAGGTGCTGCTGGGTAGTGGACTGAAAAGGTGAGAGGTTTGAAGTGAGAAGGAGGGGAGTTGGGGAGCTGTCCATTTGTACAAACCTAAGAATCTGTCATGTGTCGGGTCGTGTTTTCTTCGCTGCAGCGTTGAGGTGGTTTTGACAGCCGGGACTTTCTCTCCTTCATCCATGCTGCAAATGACATTACGGAAATTGTGTTTGTGGCGTTGCCTAGGCCAGGGACTCCTGGGAAACCGAGAGGGTCACTGGGGGTCAGGGAGAAAGAGAGAAAGAGCGAGAAGGAAAGAGTGAGAAGGAAACAGTGAGAAGGGAGAAACCAAGAATAAACAAGTCTCAATTTAAAGCTTCAGAGAACTTAATTGGAATATAATGAACCTAAAAATAATAATAACTCTAATTATTTAGATAAAACCATTATTTGACCATATATAAATCATTCCAAACTACACATGTGCCATAATGCTGGCTGTAATTTGTTGTAACATCAACAAAGCTCACCTGGACTGGGATGTACAGGGATTACTCCTTCCAGCATATATACAGGGCTGTGTCTAAAGATTTGCTACTTCTAGTCTCTTAGGACATTCTCAGTCTCCTAAATATTTCAGCAGTAGAAATGAACTGCTCTCTCAGGGGGGCAATCCTGTGCCTGATTGCCCTGGCCTGGCGTTTATAGCCTGGGAAGATCCAGGTCGACCTGGGCCAGGCCATAGTCCCCGCCATTGCAGGTCTATACATCCCTAACCTTCACTAACAAGGACCAGGGGAGCAGCAGGACCAAAGCTCCTCCATAAAGCACAATTACAAGCTAAAGGCAGGGTTTTGTGCTCTTATATGTGTGTGATTTCCCCATTTACAGCTCACAATCAATCTTTAATGAGCCATTGAATATTAACTGGATTTGTAGGAGCTGAGTGTCAACTCCCATGAGTGTAAACTGGAGGTCCAAGGTTTAGCAGACAGTGGAGATTGAGGAAAGAGGGGGAACAAGGAGCATTTGCAAGGTGGGGGATGAGTGTTTTACATGGGGTTTATATGCAAAAAGTGGTTATAGTCAATTACAATTACAATCATTCACCATGGGAAGGACAACCAGGGTAATTGTAGTCTCAGTACCCCCCTTGAAGCCACTACAGTAACTGCATTACAATGAAGCAAACACTGGTGCAAGAAGGATGAGGACAAAAGTAGTAGGACTGTAGATCTTAGAGATTTAAAAACTCTGACAAATGTTTGAAATCCCAACTCACTTACAACAATTGCTGATTAATAACATCGACCACAACAGAGCCCCTTGTCTAGTCCCTCATGCAGATCTCCACAGGCCTAGAGGCCAGCCTGGACCCTGCAGCAGGGCCTGGGTAGCTCCCTAGACTCTAACCCCCTGCCAGGCAATCTCTTTGTCACTGTGCTGCCCGCTACTGATTAATGGACATAGTCTTGTGATCAGAAGGTTTGGACGTGGCTGAGGTCTTGCTCTCTCTGTGTCTGAGAGCTACAGATGGATCTAGTGGACTGAGACAGATTAGGCCTTGATGCTGACCCCTATGGAGAGACCTCTGGGGTGGAGGAGCAGGCCAGGGGGCCCAGGGATAATGGGACCCCTCTCACACCTTTTAAAAGAGAACATGTTTATGGCTACTTAGAGGAAATTGATTTGATTGTGCCAGAAACGCATGTGTGAACACCCCTGGCACTTTTATTGGCTATTTGTCTTTTAAGTCACAGCTGGAGAAATTTATGCCCACGTTGGGGTTTAGGAGAGTGGGTGCATGGCTGTGCGTGTTTGTGTGTTTAAGAGAGTAAATATTAATATGTGTGTGTGTGCATACAGTCGTGTGTGCATGTCTGTGCAGTATGCAAGAGCAGGTCATGATAAGCGATGCACTGAAGGTGCACTTTAACTGGGTGTCAATCATTAAGTATCAGCCCTAATGACTAAAAGCGCATAATGGAGGCACTGGCGGAAATAAAACAACAAGATTTGTTGGGGCACATTAATTCTCTGAATTGATGTCAACAGGCAGCTACTTTCCCCCGCTTGTGTTTTCTTGCTCATGCATCTTGACTCTATTAAATGACAAATGTTTGAACATGAATTTCAGCTCATGATCTCATTGGGCTATCGAAAGAAAACATAGCATTTCCTTTCTGGCTTTGGGGATTTAACTCAGTTTTCAGTTTATAGTGTAAAAATGTGAGGGAGTGAGAGATTAGGAACCTATGAACTGCTGATTGATAACCAGCTCTGGAATAGCATACAGTTACTAGTCATAAAGACAGTACTAGTGAAGTGTGTGGCTGTTTTCAAACCATACAGGTATATGTCATATTAATACCTTCTCTCACCTCTCTTCATCTATTCTCTGTTCTCTCTTTAGCTATTCTCTTTCTTTTTGCAAATGTCTAGGAGTTGCAAGCAGGTTCAACCAAAGAGTGATGTTCCCACCTTGGATGGAGGCCAGAAGAGGTTAAGCTATCCAGTATTCCACAATGACAACACAAAGGTATGAGAAAATCAAAAACAACCTAATTTCTCTTGTGCAAAAATATGTTTAAGATATATCTTGTTAATCAACTTATCTCCCCTCAGATTTATTTTACATCCCTTTGGAAATTCCCAGCCCCCAGGATAGGAACCACTGCTTTACAGTCATGGGAAAACTGCAAGGGAACTATTTGTTTATTGTAATTTTTGCTGATATAGTAATTAAAGTGATTTAACTTTTGCTCTGTAAAACGTATGCAGAATAAAACGATATGTTGTTGCAGAGCACATCGTATTCTTTTGTAAGCAATGTCACATCAAAGTCAGAGAGCTTGTGTGGGGAGACGGACTGAACGAGTGGAGTGAAGATGAAGGTGAAGAGCATGCATGGTCTGTTTGAAACAGAGGAAACAAGAGGGAGGGGGAGAGGCTTACTGCTCAAAACAGTCTGATTTATGCAAATTGGAGAATCTTATCGATTGGTAATTGATTTACTTTGATACATGCATTCACGGCTGTAGTAGTAATGCACTGATGTCGGGCCCCGCCACCTCGCAGTTCGCCTGCATTAAGACAAATCAAATTCATCTGTCCATCCCTTCTCTCTCTGCTGCCATCCATCAGCCTCATCGCATCACTGCTGACAAAACCTTGCGTGTTTGTGCGAGTGCGTGTGTGCAAAAATGACCTGATCATAAAGTATGTAACCTCTACCTATCGCTGCATAGGGCACAGATATCGAACAGCAGATCAACTCAAACCTTAAAATAATGCAGAACATGAACACAGATAACCTCAGACAGACAAATCATGGACAGAGGTAGAAAGGTTATTCACCAAGTCTTTGCAATATAATGTATTTCAGCAACTTTATTATGGATCTATTTAGTTGCCATTTATTTACATGCAGTATTGATTCTATTATCCTGCTGGTAAAAAGGGTTCATAGAAGCTTGTGTTCATCTTAATGATGGAGCGTGTTTGTGTGTACGCCTGTGCACTGAAGCTCAAATCTATTTAAGCCACAGAGTGTATGTTAATGTTTGTGTGTGTGGGAGAGAGAGAGCGAAAGCATTATTTGGCCATCCCCAGGGGGACAGGGCTTCTGCTCCTCTCTCTTAGGTAATGGAAGCAATGTGTCCATAATCCCAGTGAATGACTAATAAAAGAGAGTAGCGCCTTGGGTCTGTTCCCTCAGCAATATTATGGCTGGATATTAAACTGAGTGCCTGTGTAATACTGTCAAGTCACTGTTTTCTCAAACACATTCCATGCACACACTTTATTTATTTATCTTTCTTGTATATATCTGTATTCGCAAATGAAATCGAAAGAGCTCTTTATGAGGGGAGATTGTTCTCATTGGTGTGAGAGCTGTTTATAAAGTCCTGGACGTGTGAATCATCACATCACCGGCGTTTGGATACATCAAGACACCTGAGGCGCTCATGAACGCTGCCTTAATGGAAACCAAACGCTGCTTGAATACTAATAAGCCATGACACCATAACCCGCAGCCCTCCACCCGATACCCCTGTACTCTCTTTAAACGCTCTTTAATGGCCATGTTAGTGTTATACAAGACTCTCATTAGACAATTTAATTGGTTTGGCTGATGTTGACAGCAGTGTTGATTGGCCGAGCCAGACTATGGAGTTAGCGTGGTGGTTTGTGGGGGTCAGTGGTATGGTGCTGTTGGTGACTAATGTAGTCACGGTGGAGCACGTGTCCAGGCTGAGGAGCTGATTAGGATGGGCCTAATCCCCCATGAGGTCATACCGTCCTGTTCCTACCTAGTGAAGTCTATAAAAATCAAGGCTAGGAGGGGTGCGTCAGTGTGTACTAATTAGAAGACAGAAGAGTTTTTAAAATGATCGGCCTCCTGTTTTGTATTGATTATGCCAGTTTTGTGGGGATGATGTCACTCTGTCTGGATCTATTGTCATGGCTGATATTGGTGATTGGAGAGGTGTGGTATTGCTGCTTTCTGACATCAGTGCAATCTGTTTCCCTTGCGGCTTACAGACCGAAGTTGAAGGGGAACTCCAGTGATCTCACACATTAAAGTCTGTTTACAGGTAATGGGGAGTACTGCTGCAGATATTGATTTAAAAAGTTGTTTTAAGCTTTTCAACAAATAGTTGTTCAGGATAGTAGGAGCTGGTGAGTGTTTTTTTGTGGTTGGACAATTGCAGACTTAAAACGATTGGAGACGGTGCCTGATGTGAGAGAGGAATTGATTAGGATTGAAATAAAAAGAAAAACCTATTTGCAGGAACTCCTAAAGGAAGGGGACGGGAAGGACATCAAGAGAGCAGGATGAAGGCTTCATATTGGTGATGATCTTGGCTAAATGATCAATTGAGACAGAATGAATTACATTTAGAGAGCGGTCCAAATGACGTGGAGGTTCGGCTGTTACAAAAGACAGTGTTTTGATTTGATTTCTTCTAGTAATGACTGTGTTGGAAAAGAAAGATAGAAAGTTCTCTCATATCTCTGTGGAGGGCTCAATCATTTTAGGGGGGCATCTGCTGTGCGGCTAACAAGAGAGAGTACCCTGGTGTTATGTTATGTTTCTCAGTGATACTAGTGAAACAGTTTGCTTAAACATTTTTAATTAAGATTTTTAGACTGTCAAAAGTGAACATTTGCATTTTGTGGCCTTCCATTTCCATTCTCTTCAATTAATTAATTTCCTCATTTATCCAGGGCTGAAAAGTTTTTTTGGAATTATAATCATTATTTTAAAAAGGTGCAACTCTGTCTAGAATGGCTGTTAGATACTACTAAAATGTTTAAAAATATATCATTGGTGCACTGTCCACTGAAGAACAAATTCTCAGCAGAATTTGGTGGCAAAATTGGAGTTAAAAATGCAAGAACACGTTTGACCTTAAAGTCGGTTTGTTATAGTGGGTAGGGTAGTGTTAAAGATATACAAATTATAAATAATTACAATTATGATCAATAACCCCAATATCACTACAGAGTGTGTTGTTTAAAATAATTCCAGTATAAAGTGGGGTCCTAATCATAATCGGATCAGGGATTACGATTTGTAGTTCTGAGAACTGAGGTGTATAAATCTTAATACAAAAGGTTCCCTGAGATAATAAAACAGAGTTCTTAAAATGTAGAGAAAGACCTAATAATCGGCAAATGTTCAAACAATTTAACTCAGTCCTGGGCAGGACTGGTTGTTGTTGAATAGCATAGGGATTATCTGGGATAAAATGTCTGCAGAGAAATGTCAGTCACATAAATCAGACAGAGATATCCTCACATATGACACACATTGCTTCACCCCATGTCTGTTGATGAATGCCATTCCATCTAAGTAAATGTTCTTTCTTCCAGAATGAATCAAAGTGGTCAATAACACCATAACAAGCAGCAGTACAGAAAGTCTGAAGCTGGAAATGCAGACTGAAAAGTAATTTTCCTACTATGACAAGTCAAATGTCTGCTGTGAAAAAGGCATATGACCATTATGAGTATGCGTAAGAGCAAAATGCTCTTCTGTATTACTCCTCAGTGGGTGTCTGATATGCAGTTCTCTTTTTACTATTCATCTTTGATCAAACTATAAAAAGAGTGAATGAAGTCCAGTCACCCCTCTGTCCACTCGCTGCACTGTCCCTGGCTGGCTGTCCTGTAATTATGATTGATTTGGGACTGGGACATATATTGCTTGGCGGGCCTATTCTGACTGTACTTCATCACCAGGCATGGCTAAATGCTTTAAAAGCATTGATTTGCCTGAATTACAACATGGCACCAGACCTCTCACCTGTCTGTGAGCGGCTCCCTCTATGTGTGTGTGTGTGTGTGTGTGTGTGTGTGTGTGTGTGAGTGTGAGTGAGAGAGAGAGAGAGAGAGAGAGAGAGAGAGAGAGAGAGAGTTAGTGAATGTGTCAGAGAGAGCGAGTAAAGACAGATCTCACCTCCACATATCATAACACTCGGCTCTCCTCTCCCTTTATCCCCGTCATCCGCCCCCCCTATCATCTCCGTCCCATCGATTTGCCCCATAAAAGGTGTTTAATTCAATCAAGAGGAAAGTGAGTGCCTGTTTTTCTGGGTCCCTGTCGATAGCGGTATAATCAATTAGAGTGGGCCTAGACCTCCCTCCCTCTCACTCACACACACACTAACTCTTACACTGGCTCAGTTTCTAAAAACTCTTGAAAGCTGTCTATTTCTGTTCTGCATGTCTTATATGACTTCCTCACCATCTCTGTTTCCTATTTCTATTCATGTAGGATAGAAAATAGGATTTGAGGTTTTAACGATATATTATTGGGTCTACATGTTAAACACTCGTTAAAGCTGGTCCAACTTATCAATTACCTTTATAAATTTAATTATAAGTTGAAAATTTCAACCATCTTATGAATTGTAAAAATCTAAAAGCAACTGAGGTAAACTCAATGAACTTAAGATAAGTTCAATAACGTTTTTAGATATATTTTTAGGGTTTTTCATGCCTGTATTTTGTAGGACCGGTGAAAATTGACAGGAAAGGGGGGGGAGAGCAACATGCAGCAAAGGGCCACAGGTTTGAATCGAACCTGCTGTTGCAATAAGGACTTGACAAAAGATTAGTTGATTTCTGCTGCAGCGTATTGCTGCCAACAACAACAAAATTTCTTCAGAGTCTTGTTATAATGAATATTATAATAATATTCTTTTCATTATGTAACAAAATCCTTTTCCTGTTATTATGACATAGTTTCTCATGAATAACATGAATTACTAGACACCAATCATTCTGTTTTTACAAGAAACATTACTTGTTATAACACAAAACTCAAATATGGTTTAAGTTTTATTTGATTCAAGCCGATTCAAGTACTATTTATCAATGACTGTAACTATATCACTTATTCTTTGCTGGGTTGCAGCAGGGATGGAGGCTGTCCCAGGGTGATATGGGTGGCTACATCCTGGACAGGTCACCCATCGATCACTATCTTATTACTTAAATATGTTTTTGTTCAGATTAAAGCTATAATATGTAACTTTTCCGTGTTCAAATTTCTAAAAACACTAGACCTATCTTATATATTTTGTTTAGCTGTGTACTTACTTTATCCCAAATGTTGCCAACAATGTTCAAACCCAGAGAAATCTGTAATTTTTCAGGTAAGTGTGTTCACAGGTCGCCTGTCAATGGTGTGACATCACCTTTGTACATTTTCAGTGTTGTGGTTGTCTGCCAAAAGCTGCCATAAATTGACTT